ATTGTTATTCTTCTACTATATAAGGTCTCCCTAGACTGATAGTTTACGATAATGATACCCTTACTTTCTATTGTTTTCTCTTTCTTGTTGCTGTTTTATTTTTATCATTCTATTTACTAGTGCTTAATTTTTTCTTATCAGCCATCATCAACCTCACTTTATAAGGACAATGAAAGTCAATATAACAAAAAGATACACACGAAAGTTGGAAAGAATAACCATAAAATAAGTGAAATTGTTGCACTTATCTCTTTTTTTCAACTGAATCTAAGGAGAATTTATCATCGAGTATCAACGAAAAAAAACCCACATTTCATGTCGCAGAAAATCTAGAAAACAAAAACAACAGGTACTGACTGTATAAATAGAAAAGGTAACCTGCATATCGACAATCAGCAGTTATTTATTATTTTGAATCAATAATCAATATTTTACATACAACATGGGTGGATGTCAATCCAAGAAAAATATTTCCAAATCAGTAATGGGTGCTGCTGCAACTGCAACATCCTTAGGTGTGACCAGCCAATCAAATCGAGGTCGGCTTCAAAATTATTTACTGATATGGGTCGATGGTAACATCGACGAAAACAACAAAGATTGCGCAAACACGCTGGCGAAATTACGCAGCGTCGTCAGAGAAGTCAATCTCTGTACGACTCCAGCACAATGTATTCAATTTTTGAATGATATGGATAATGAAAAAGCGTTCATTATCTCATCTGGAGATTTAGGACAGCACCTCATACCGCAGATTCATGATTTGTCACAAGTGGATGCAATTTATATCTTTTGTGATAATAAAACAAAACATGAAGCATGGGCAAAAGAATGGGTAAAGATTGAAGGTGTTTTCACCTCAATCAAGCCCATATGTGAATCGTTAAAGAAGGTCACCCGTGAATGTGACCATGATACCATTCCCATGAGCTTCGTTCCGAAGAAAACGACGGCAGCTACATCAAGTCAAGAAAATCTGGACCAATTAGAACCATCTTTCATGTACTCGGTGTTATTCAAAGAGATTATATTGGAAATCAATGAAGACGACGCGAAGCCGCTGAACGATCTGGTACTCTACTGCCGTACAAGAGATATATCTGAATCAGAATTAAATTTTTTTCAAAGTAATTACCACAAGAAATCGCCAATTTATTGGTATACATGTGAAATATCCCTTTATGGCATGCTTAACTACGCTCTACGATCACTCGACATGGAAGCCATGACAAAAATGGGCTTTTTCATCCGAAACCTTCATCAACAGCTGGAACAACTGCACAAAGAACAAGCAAAGACTTTTACGAAAAAATTTGTTGTTTATCGTGGTCAAGGGCTCACTAAACAAGATTTTCAGCATCTAATGGACACGAAAGGTGGACTGCTCTCATTTAACAATTTTTTGTCAACTAGTACAAAACAACAGATCGCTATGGAATTCGTGAAACGTGCCATGCAGAAAAATAAAGACATCGTCGGTGTTCTTTTCATCATGACAATTGATCCAAATACAATATCGGCGGCAACTACTCCATTTGCACTTATCGACGACTACAGTGCTATTAAAACCGAAAAAGAAATTCTTTTTTCAATGCATACTGTTTTTCGTGTCGACGAAATCAAACAATCAATTAGCAATAGCCGTCTATGGGAAGTTCAATTGAGTCTCACCGGCGACAATGATCCACAATTAGCTGCTCTTACTAAAATCATACAAAAGGATCTCCGTGGATCCACCGGATGGCATCGAATGGGAGATTTGATGATCGAAGTGGGCCACTATAATCCAGCTGAAGAACTCTACAATGGATTACTCAAAAACGCTTCCAGTGACGGTGATAAAGCATATATTTATCACCAGCTTGGATTTTTAAAAAACGCTAAAGGACAATACCAAGAAACAGTTTCATTTTATGAAAAGTCACTCGAAATCAAGAGAAAAACTCTTTCGGAAGATCATTCTTCATTGGCTCCTACCTATACTAACATTGGTCTTGCGTATAAGAACATGGGTGACTACTCGAAAGCACTTGAATTTTACGAAAAAGCACTTAAAATAAAAGAAAAAACTCTGCCTCCGAATCATCCCTCATTGGCTACTTCCTACAGCAACATCGGTCAAGTGTATAACAACATGGGTGACTACTCGAAAGCACTTGAATTTTACGAAAAA